TAAAAACAAACTGTTGCATTCTAAGATTTGAAATACAGGGAGTTACTAATCCAGTGTAGTATACTAAGGAAGAACTCAAAAGCAATTTTCTTACACAGAAAAGTAAATAGTTGACCTCTACTTATTTTTCCCTTGATAAAACAGTCCATCATAGTTCAGAACTGTTGCAGGGCAAATGCACATGCACTGTGTTTTCTTTAATTTGGTGGGAGCAAAGTCCAGAAGAGTGCCTCTACTAGTTCCCACGAGCTCTCTCTACTTACTGCAGTGACCCCTGTTATATAAACATCTAGCAGAAATTCAGTTTCCCCAAGCCGACAAGCACAACTGAGATCATACACCACCCAGAAAGAAAAGTATTATCTCTGAAATAATCATTTATGTAGTTAATTACTAATCTACAAATATGTACATCAAGGATAACCTAGAGCTATAGGACAAAGCCAAAGAGAAAGAGAGATGGTGTACTGCAGATGGATGATAAGAGAAAAAAAAACCTAAGAAAAAAAACTAAGCAATGACTCTGATCTGTGAAATTACCACTTCTCCACATTGGTACCTAAAACTTTTTCTGGCAAATCTGAAAGTTTAGGTAATCTTTTTTCTCTCTTTGTTCTCTTGAAAGCTACTGAGATGGGTTTATCTTTTGTGTTAGTCTTTACACATGCAATAGTACCAGCAAGTCTTTGGTATCTGAACTTCTGCTAGGGATACTGCTCTAAAAATCTGACAAAAGGAAGAATCTCAACACCACTAAGTTTTCCAGCTAACACAGAAGAACAAAACCTTGCCCTAAAGAAACAAATAGAACTTGTGCCATTTATTTCAATGTAACTAAAACGATGAACTGAGTATTTTGGTATCCATCATACACCAAAAATAAAAAGCAAAACACACCTTTAAAGGCTTCAGCCAAATTAATTCTGACAAAACCACTTCTGCTCAAGCTTCAGGAAGGCATGACTGAAAAAATGAAATATAACCTTTCCTATTTATTTCATTATTTGATTATACACTCAGGAGTTTTATCTGCCCATACTGGTGAAGAGCTCTTCACACAGATGAAGAGGAGATACATTGGAACAAAACCTGTTTCCATGTCAGTACTTTTTTTCCATTTTTGAACTAGCACTCCCACTTTACCTTCTGCAAATACAAGACTTCAAACAACGTAAAATTTACAATCAAGCATTTCTAATCACAAAACCACTTGTTCATGCAAGTAATCCATAACATAAAAATTACTTTCCCCATTTTAATTCTGTAGTACAAAAGGCATTCATTCCAACACTACGTATAAAGCAGACGAACGTGCTCTCTTGACAACAGTTCTGAGCACATACCATCAGATTTAACACACTTCACATTTAGAAAGAAAGTCACGACACTAGCACAGCAGTTAGCTGTTGTGAAACTTATAAACTGGAAAACGCTAATATAAGTCATTTAGCAATGTCTTGCCACACCACTACTTCAACATCACCTGAACTTCATAATTCATTCAGCAAACCGACCATGAATACTGCACGATAATATCATCATCTGCCAACAAACATCAGTCAATTTCACATAAGATGACATACAGCTTAGATGCTAAATACCACGTCAGACAGTGTGCCGAAGCACGTCTCAATAAAGGAATTTAAAACGTTAATCCAACAAAACCAAAAATACATGCATACCATTCTGCACACAACACCCATCCACTGTCTCGGATACATTTTTTTCCCCTCAAATTATGAAATCTTCCCTAGGATTTGTAAGTGTACTTCCGAAGAAAAAATAATTGATACAAGCCTTTGTATTTTATTCCCAGGACAGTCACTAGGAATCTAACAGACCCCTGTTAGATCAAGTGATAAAAGTTACACAGAGTATTACGAGACATGTAGCTTAAAAGCAACGCAGTCAACTCATCTGAGAACAGTCTGTGCAGATCTCTGCTCTGGTAGGCAAGCCAGCAGCAGTCACTTACTAAAGAAAGGACCAGAAATATCACTGAGTTTAGGCCAGAAGGCACCTGAGAGGATCACCTGCACAAAACAGTTCATTACAGTAGAGTGCTCAGGGCCATGGCCATTCCAGTTTTAAGTATCTCCAAGGATGGAGATTCCACAACCATTGTAGGCTCCTGTTCTGGTATTTAACCACCCTCACAATTAAGAGGTTTGCCCTAATATCTAACCAAATTCTCCTATGTTTCAACTTGTGCTTGTTGCCTCCTACCTTATCAAAATACACCTTTGAGCAGAGTCTGGCTTCATCTTCTCTGTATGCTCCCATCAGATAGTTTTAAACAGCAACAAGATCTCAACTCGCTCATCTTAACACTGAACAGACCCCACTCTATCAGCCTCTCCTCATATGTCACACTCTCCCAACACCCTCAGAATCTTGGCAGCCCTCCACTGGACTCACTCCAGTATGTCAGTGTCTTTTTCCTATTGGAAAGGCCCAAATTGGACACAGCACTCTAGATGTGGTCTCATCAGTGCCCAAAAGGAGGAAAAGGGTCACTTCCCTGGACCTACCTGCTACACTCATGCCACTACCACCAGGGATGCTGTTGGTCTTCACCACAAGAAGGCACTGCGTACTTAGGGTTGACTCATTGTCCACCAGGACCCCCCGAGGTCCTTTCCTGCAAAGCTGCCCTCTAGTTGTCCCCCAGCCTATACTGGTGCATAATGTATTCCAGGCCATGCACAGAAATTTGTCATTGCCTTCATTGATTCGATGAGGTTCTGGACAGCCCACTTTTCCAGCTGACAGGCCCCTCTGTACATCGGCCCTGCCCTCCAGTGTACTGGTTGCTCCCCTCAGCTTGCTACTGGCTGTGACCTCCTGTGTTCGCACTCTGTCCCATCATCCAGGCCTTCAATAAAGACATTAAACAGTATTGGACTCGGTCAGTATCAATCCCTGAGGGCTGGCAGCTAACTTCGTCCTACTGATTACAATCCTTCTGGCCAATGGTCCAATGAATTTTCCATCCGTCTTATCATCTACTTATCCAGTCTTTATGTGAATAGTCTGGTACAGATACTATGGGAGACCACATAAGGCCTTGCTAAACTCACACTATACAACAGCTACTCTCTCCTTGTCTGCAGAGCCAGTAATCACACAAGGGACACAGGCTGATTTTGAAGTGGTATGGGCTAGGGCAGTACCTCTTATAACCTGCTCCACCCTTAAAACTGAGGGAATACAGCATAAGGGCATACACCAAAGACCTGCAGTAAAGACTTATTTAAATGAAAACTGCTACATACTCATGAACATATGGCTTCTCAAATGAAAGACTCGTGCTTAGAGCAGAGAGGGATCATTTAACATAATTTTCTTGTCAGGCTTGCTTCCAAAATCTGAAAAAAGTCTGATATACATCTTTAGTGTAGGTAGGTAGCAAAGCAGGAATTTCTGCACATCTGGCTTTTACAGCCCATCTCTTATTGAAGGAGGGTAAATGTGGCAAGGGAGAGAAGAGGCCAAAGCCTGTGACAAACAGCAGCTTCCAGAGTGCCCTGTGGGAAAATGAGAAATGTCCCCCTGAGAGCACCACAGAACCAGCCAGGCTGGGCTTACAGTTAGATGAATGACACATTACGGAGTGATGACGAAACAGACATTTGAGAACAATTCCTGTACCAAGTTAAAATCAGCAATCAGTAGATTTCCCAGCAAAAAACAGGCCTACAGCTCCTATGCATATCCTTGTGCCTAGGCCTAGACTAGGTTAGCGTATACAGCAAGTTTTCCACCGTAGCAGAGATACACCTTGGACACAGCTGTGGCCCTCTACATGACTCAAGTGAATAGGAAGTAGATGTGGCCTTGCATCTGTCACTGTCCTGCACAGTGAAGCTGTGCAAGGACACCTCCAGCCAGCCTGTCCTGTTCTGCCACTCCTCAAAGGCACCTCCAACACAGCCTGCAATTGCCCAGCATACACATCCTGCCAAGAAAGTACCTTCTCCTCCTTCAGCAGACTCGGCTCTACCCCAACAGAGTTGGGGTCTCCACACCAGAACAGCAGAAGACTAAAGGATAAGTAACTAGAAGTTACAGAACAGGACTAAGACTCATCAGACAGAATGGCCCAGAAGACATTTCTTTTACAGTCACTCCATAAGAAAATGAGGAACATCATCCAGGTCAGAGAACATAGTCTCAGTCCACTACCAGGTTTAAGGAGCCAGTTAGTGTATCACTGAAACATATTATGAATGAGACTGACTTTAAATAGCTCACCAAACTAAACACAGCCTTAAGGCTTCTGAACTAATAAATAGGACTCAAGCTTGTCCTACTCTCAAATCAGCATTCAGGTTAAATTAGGATGTATTAAATGACATGCAATGGTCTATGAGAAAGTCAAGAGGCAGAGAGAAGAAAAGAAAATATAAAAATATTTTAAAAAAAAATCAGTTAAAGTTAAGGAAGGACTTACAGTTTGGTAAAGGAGTTACTAAGCAACTTTTTAACTCAGAAGAGCTCTCCAAAAGAAAGTCAGGACTTACTCATTCCTTTCCACTTTGTAGAGATAACAATACAATAAACTCTAAACGAAATCAAAATTGAAGAACTGACAAAATATCCAGTTAAAACAAAGGCACAGGTGAAGGTTTGACGTTGACTCCTGAAACAGAGTCAATGAACTCATGTGTGATTTTCGTTTGTTTGTAAAAACTTGGGAGTCTGTACTGATTTGAGATTAAAAGAAAATAAACCTCCCACAAATTCATTGAGCCAGCTATACTTACTGAAACCATACTCCATCTGCAAACAGATACAGGTTTGTCTACTCAGTAAAGCAAAACACTACAAAGTACACAGTCTCTACTTTATGCAGTATTTCTTTATCTATAATTTTAAATGTTGTCTATAAACTCTATATAAAGTTTTCTTAGTATGTAAAGTGAAGTAAGAAAAAGGTTTATTTTCAGATTGTGTTGTAAGATCAAAATACAAAAATTTTAGGAGACATGCATACTTACGCTGGTAGTTGCACATAAAGCAGGCCTGTGCTGCAATCATCCACTCCGCTCTAGTCTCACAAAAGATAGCAATGTTAGTCTTTGGTTGCTGACCCAAAACTGCTAAGCCATTTCCAAAATTAACAGCTTTAATGTATACATCTTCATATGAAAGCCAGGTGTACTTGCCAAGGATGACCTAATAAGAATAATAAATTCAATTTAGAAAATGAAAATCCTTAACACATGTCCTACTACATCTTCATCCACAGGAAGAAACGACAGATGTCTGAAGCAACACTTGCTTGAATTACAACAGCAGTTTCCTGAAGATACTGAATGATACTTTTGCCAAAAACTACAGGGATTGTGGAAGTTCCAACACAAATACTGCAACATCTCCATGCATGTTATCACCTCAGTTTCTATTTTCACATTAGGAAAGCACACGATTCCCACCATATTTTGTAGCTGCAGAAGCCATCTGAAAGGCTGTGGTTATCTGACCCATATGCCTTTAGTTTGCCAAAGGTTTGGTTTATTTTAAGTAAATATTGGATATTTGGGTTACAATTCTCCTACACAAATACAGTAGTTAAGTGTTCATTCTTATTAGAAAAAACACAAAACAAAAAAAAAGTAGGGAAACCGGAGTCCAGAAAGCAGTATGGGTCCTCAGTCAGAAATTGTGACATCCCTTTCCCTTTGTTCACAAACAAATATCAGGGGAAGAGAGCTAACCTTTTTGCCCTTTTTTACTGTTAAATAAAAGTGGGACAGAAGACTAGACTGGAAATTATTGGAAAATTTCAGTACTTGAAAAGTCACGTTTCAAACATTAAGCAATCTTACTTTGCTTTTATATGGGAAAGCTGGTAGAGTAAAATTGGATTTGAATTTATGTGTCACTATCTATCATAGATTTCTCTGTGTGCATTTGTACCTTGCAGTACTATTTTCTAACTGAGTGACAGAACATTTCTTTGAGAATATCCCAGATATCTGCATGTACAGATGTAGTACAAAGATGTTTTACATTGAAAATCCAGAGTCTAAATTATCATACCTTACTCATCTAGTTATACAAGTGCCCCGATAATTTTGAATATAATTTTTATTACTTATTTCAGACATTTCCTTTGACCACACAGCACTAGTAGTAAATGCAAGCAAACACTAAAAAAAAAAAAAAAAAAAAAGCAGCTAGAAAAGCAAACATCTCCCTCCTCCCCCATTCTGTTTTCCATATTTCATTTATCAACTTTTAACTATATTTCAAACTTGTAGGCTGTAAAATCTACCAACTTTTTGGCATGTAACTACATTTCTAACAAGCTTGTATTTCCACATCCACTTCCTTAATAAAATGAATTTGAAAATCTCTCTCAACCTCTAACAGAAAAATAAAATCCAATAGATTTATTTTATCAAAACAGTTTTCCAAACTGCTGAGGTTTACTGTTGGGTGACTGAGTTGTACCTACTACAGCCTTGCTGCACATTGCTCAATTACCTACTTGTTTAGCAGGACAAAACTTTCTTAACTCAGGACAGGTACACATGCAGCTGCTTTGAAATTTTAGAAATGTTTCTATAGGAAAATATCATTTAACACAACTGAAAAACAACACTTGCCAACAACAGCAACACTTAGCAATTTCACCAGAAAACAAACATTTCTCACACAAATACCTGCTCAGGGTTTCCCATTTTATTTACGGAAACTCAGCTTCATTGACAAATAGGCTGTTTCAGAGCCAAAAGCCTTACTGAAGAAGAAAGACCATGCTGAATTTCTCTGTGGTAACTGGCAAGAGGATCACAGCAGAATTGCTGCCTGACTGTATCTGCAGCACCTCAAGTAGAGGGCTCACACCACTCACAGCTACAGCCCCCCAAGGAGAAGGACCTGGGAGTTCCTTTCAGTTTCGACACACCAAGATATTTCTTATGTGGAAAACTTTTACTGCTTCCAAAGAAAATATTGCACCTCTTCCTGTCCATCCAGATTTCAGCAATTCAAAATTTTAATTCCACTTTTGGACATTTTTCCCCCAAATGCACGCTTGGAAATTCTTCACAAGCTCATCAGTTGAAAACAATTTATAGCAGTGAATCGGGAACACACTTTTCACCATTATACTCTACCTACAGCATGGCCTCAGGGATACTGGTCTCCAATAATTAGGCCAAGAAATACAAGTCGGTTCTTGTTACTGTTTCTGGTAAGCTTACCAATCCATAAATGAACAGGTTTTGGTATTTTCCACCATTCACTACATAACTCACTAAAGTTGGAACAGTAAATCATTAAAGGGTCAAAACCAGATCTTTCTGAATTACACCTATGATTCTGCTTTTTTCCCTTTTTTTTTTTTTAAATTCTCTTAAATATTTTAACCTCATTGCTTAAATAAGTTTGATATAAAGCAGTGAAAGAAGACGTTATTGATGCTATCCTTTCCTAAAACGTTACAAAATCCACAGAAAGGAAGTATAGCACTGCCACAGTTATCTTTCTATATACAGAAATAGTTATATTTCTGAAGAACACCAACATATGAAAACCGACAAGAAGACTTTTTTCAATGCAGTTGTATTGAGATTTACCTCTCCTACTGCCTTCTATATATGTAAATTCTCATGTTCCCTTCCTCACTATGCCCAGCATTTCCTCTCTATTTCCTGGCTATGACATATTAATATACTGCCTCTGTCCATACTTCCCTTTCTTTTGCATCTCCCTATATGCTTCTTTTGCAAGACACAGAGCAGGTTATGGTTTCTCTCATCCATCCTGTTTGAGTATGACACCAAATCCATCTCCCTTCTTGATCCCTCCTTCAGCAGCTTCCACTAATATTTTCCAACTTACTGTAGACAGCTGTTAAGACTGATGTTAAGTGCCATAATCTTTTAAATGTTGGCACACATCTAATTTTACAACTTTCAGAACTTATTTCTGCTAGATAACTACTTCCACATGTAAAGAAAGTAACTGTCCAAGAGTTTGCAAGAGAAGGGCCCAAGAAGTCAAGGTTATTGAGAGCTGATTAAACAGACACACAAACCCAAACACTAAATCCGAAGAGACAGCATCTCTGAATGGTTACTTCAAAAATATATTAAATAGAAAAACACTGCCCTCTAGTGCACCAGCTCTTAAACATACTTAAACTGCAAGTTATTTAAAATATTTACCTATTTAATGCACTGGAAAATATTATTAAATAGCAGTACTATATTAATATTTGGAAATCCAGCAAAGCATAAAGACTAAATACCTGCTGCACAGTGAACATTTCTTTAATCTGGATTTTAGGGCAACCATATTCACATTTTTAGTGTGAACTTGTAATAAAAGTGTTCTCAAAAAACCTGCAAGCACATGTAGAGTCATTAAACTACCTGACCTCAGTTACCTTTCAATGTCTTCCTAAAAGTAGCTTATAAGGCTTGAAGAACCTTGACTACAATTTGGAAACCAGTGACCACAAGTTATATATTTCCTTGTAGAAAGTATATTAAAAATAACACAAGGGAGGTTATTTGAAATGTCCATTTTTGGCCTTTTCCACATGAAAACATGAATTGCAGCTGAACACTTCTGAAAAAACCCACCCTAAAAAGTTTTATTTACATAGCAGCCTGTGTTTTTCAGCATCTCATTCACTGCTCAACAACTGGGCATGGCAAGAACCTTCCCGTAGCCTCACAATAAATTTCACTATCAGCTCTAATAAGTAACATTCCAAATTCCTAAGTGCTTGCCCATGTGCTTAGTGTTTCACATAAGTCTCACAGGCTCTACATGCATCACCTTCCTCTAACAAAATTGTGCTTACTTTTCCCCCATTATGTCTTATTTATTATGTTTCTATTAATTGCATTCTTAATTACAAACCCTTTCTAAAACAGAACAAAGCAAACAACCCCCTTCCCCCTCAAAAAGAAACAACAAAGAACACACACAAAAAGCAAAATCCACATACCTACATATATAAAAGCAAGCTTATTACATTATAACCCATAACAAAGACATAAAATAATCAACCAGCAAAATAAAGTTCGTCATCTGAGCATCATAAAATTTAAGCTTTGCTTAAACTAATTATTCTTTCAATTAATTACATCTTAATTTCCAAAGTATTTTCAACATTATTTTATCCTTAAATACATATTTTATGAAATTAATATTGGGTATGCTCTCCAATCCATGTATTAAAGGTCACTACAGAAGGAAACAGAAAAACTAACTACATACGAAATGTTATAAAATGCAACAAAGCAAGCAGAAGCAAGTACTTGTATTTTATTAATATCCATGAATTTCTGCTACTTCGGCAACTACGCAAGAGTATAGCATATCATCATAAAAATTCAAGAAATTACAGATTACCTGGAACATCATTGCTCTAAAATTAATGTAGTATCTGATCTTCAAGACATTAAATATCTAGCTTTAAATAATTTCAGCTAGAAGTGTGATGACTCTCAGCTCTCCAAAGAATCAGAAGCTTAATATTTTACTTTGAGATATATATTTACCCCATTAATTAATGAATCATTAATTAGGCTAATCTGCAATTTGCAGAGAAACATCTTCTAATAGGTAACGCAATTCAGTACACAGACCCATCATTTACATTCAGATCTGCCCCTGACTTGCAGATGATTTCAGAAAAACACATAAATCATTCCCACCATTGTGTTCAATTTCTGGAAGTGAAAAGTAATTAACAAGTTTGGCAGCTCCTGTAAGGTATAGAAATTCTATGCATTATACCTAAGAATTAAAATTGTCAGGCACCTTTTCAAAAAGCTGATCCAAATAAACCTCAACAAGTTGCCTTTACTAAAAGGAACCAGGCAATAAAGAGATGAAAGACAAAAATCAGAGGAAAAGAACCCTGACATTTAAAATCAACAAAGGTATCTTGCGAAATTTTCTGATTTTCCACACTTGCTAAAACATGTTATGAGGTATTAAGAAACATCACACTCCCTAATGGAGAAAAAAAAAAAAAAAAAAAAAAGATACTTACACAATAATGCCACAACTTGGAATAAAATAATTTGAGGGCAAGTATAGCAATGGTCCATAATGAACTGTTGTGTCAAGCTTAGACAAAATTACTTAACTTAGGTAATTTCTAAGCCTAAGTACTTAGAAACAAGTAATTTAAGTAGGTCAACACCAACATTCTTCAGCTTTCCAATATTCAGAACACTTTGCTTGCATAATAGAAAATGCTAAAACTCCTAAGTTCTTAAGCCTTACATTACTAATTATGTTTGAAAAACAGAGCACAGATCACAGGCAGCCAAAATTCTGATCTATGCTCAGAAACCCACTTCGTACAACATGAACTTTCGGTTTCTTTATAGGGCAATGAGGCATCAAAATGTGCAACAAAAAGATTATATGTACCCACTTCGCCCAGCATTTCCTTCATACTGAAAAATGAACTCCCTAGCTAGGAGGAAGGTTCACTAACAATTAAACCTGCTATAAAGATTTTAACAGAAATAAACTTTGCCATGTATTGTGATATTAACCAAATTCTACTTTAAATTTTATACTCCTATATCAGAACTAAAACTAGCAGTATTTAAAGAATCCTTTATTATATGAAGAGATAAAGTTTTCTTCTGCAGGACAACTAATCTTAACTAAAAATTTTCTTTATAGCGTATAGTTAACATCTAATACAGAATAATACAAAAAATACAATTACAGTCTGTGCAATTCTTTTCCAAATAAAAATTTCATTTAAGCCCTGAATTCACAGGACAAAACAGTAAATCCTTAATTTACAGTTAAATTTACTGGAATGGCACATGTGAGTATAGGCATCAGATGATTTTTTCTATATTAATCTGATTATAGTTCAGAATAACACAAAGGGAGACACTTTTATTTAATTCACCTAAAAGGAAAACTTTAACATCAGTTACATCATCAGCTAAATATTAAAAACAAATACCTAAAACATATTTGTGGTTTTTCTTTGGCCGAAACCATAAAAAAAAAGAGTATCTACTCAAGAATGCAAAAAGGTTTAGATTTGTTTCAAATGCGGAGTAATGGAAGATTAGCAATCAGCTAATTTAACTCCTTTCATAACTACTCAATCTAAATAGAGAAAACCATTCACCCCCGCCCTGATTTGCTTTACTGGATTAGAAGTATCACAAAAGAAAGTAAACACACTGAAAAAATTCTTGAAAGCAGACTGCAAAAAGACGTACCTTTTTAAAAACTTTTCCTGATGGCTGGATTTCATCTTCCTCTTTTAGGATTTCACGTGTTCCCAAGAGTTTTTTGTCCTTAAATTTAGTTTTAGCATATTTAAAAACTTTGTCGAGTGTATCACACCCAGGATATAAAACTGAAGCTAAGCAGTGTAGACTGTTAACAGATCTGTATGCACCTCCAGGCTTGTTATTCACAGGTTTAGCTTTAACCTGCTTGGCTTTTGCTATAGCTTGCCTTGATCCTGAAAATATGTACCACGGAATGTACGTTACAAAGGAGTACACCAAGATTATAAAGTTTATAAACTGTAGAAGAACAGGGTTGATGTTATGCTTCAACTTCATTTTGGCTGCTCGTGAAGGTTACAAGGGAGAGTTCGGAAACATGGATCAATTAGACAGGGATGCAGAAAGATCTGAAAAGAGGAAAGAACATTTTAGTGGTAAACTCTATAGCTGTTGGCAAGAGGCTTATTTTCAAACATACTATTACAAACCACATCAAACTAGGTCTTTTTACGCAGAAAGTAGGCTAAAAGTCTCAACCCCTAACACAAATGAAACAAGAACAGATAAATGGGAAGACTTTTTCCTCATATAACAGATTGCAGCACTTACTAATATTTTTATTTCTTTGGACACTACACAATACAAACACAGAACCTAAGGAACTCAGGACCTGGGTTTTTAATTAAATGACATGTGAATGGCATGTTTATATCCAAAAATGTTATGTGGTTATACAATTTATAACCCTCTAATCACATATCTTCACTCACGATCTTTATGACCTTTGACTATAAATCATAATCCTCCATGCAAGCCCCCTAAGAACACAAGTAATGCCACCACTCTGTATGCGGGAATCCCAATCACTAAGTATGTTGAAACACTTTCCAAACATTATACAGACGAGAAGGAACTGTAACCTTCCTCAAACTTTGCTGCTGCTTCTATTCCTAGGGACTTGCCATCAGTCCTATGATTTCAGACTTAGTACCAGTATGCAGTGGGCATACTTGTTATTTAAATAACTACAACAGTAAGTTAACTAATATTTGGTAAATACTGGAAAATGGCTTAGAAATATCCCCAAAATCCTAGCAACAGCTCCATGAAGAGATGTGTAACTTTTTTCAGGGTCCTTACTGATGCTGCGATGTTCTCTTTGACTGTTTTTGAAGCATCATTTATCATAGCTAAAGAACACGATGATGCAACTTCCTAATGTATTCTACTGGAGAGACAAGAAATTATGCCATTTATCTAAAAGATCCAAAAAAAAAAAATCAACAAAATAATTAAAATCATTATGGAAAACAGGGACACTTGTCACAATGGTTGAGGATGAATGTCTGCAACAGTGAATGAGCTACCAGTTGTAAAAATCAGTGTTTTGCACATAAAAGCAAAACTAACTTTAAACACTTCACTCAGTTAACTTTCAAATGTATTGATACAACCGTATTAAAAGGAAGACCATAAATCAAGCAACTAATAACAATGTGTACATAAGATGCACAACTTTGATAATTCTTTCTAAATCAAGTAAATTTTAGCTTGTAAGATACAGTGTCAATACTGTATTATTCTTTGCTGAAATCTTACATTCATCGACTCTTCAAAAACCCTAATGAAAAGAAATTTTAGTTGAAAAAGTAATGTTTAAATCATGTAAGATCCTTCAGCAGTAATGGAAAAACCTTGCTTCTTGAATCTTACATTTGTAGGTCCTTTTGGGAATGGATCAATCCAATATCCTCCATTTGTAGGATGAGATTAATTCCATCTTTCTCTAAACCATGCAATTTCTTAAAACTTCAGGCAAACATATTTCACCATCAACTTCTTCCCTAACAAGCTGCAGTAACTTCATCATTAATGCTGCATTGTTACAGGCAGTCTGAAGGAATCAAGCAACACCAAGGTCTATTCTGCAAAGCACCCAGAGATGCATATTCAAATAAAGCACAGGAGGTCTTCACAGTAGGGACTTACTGGATCAAGCAGCAGAGGGGGAAAGGGATTTAAAACCTAAACAAAAAAAAAATAAATGGATGTGTCTGTATTTTAATTTTCAGATCAAAGGCAAAAAGTGATGACAAACAAAAAACCAAACCTTAAATAGGCTGAAGGGCAAATTCAGTAATCATTTGAAGAGACTTATGTTCTTAGGCTGTCACTGAAGGATACTTAATGGAAATAATCATGTGCCAGCCAATAAGCTACTGCAGTCCAGAAAAATCATGCTGCTGTTGATGGCAGAACACAAGGTTTTAAAGCTGAATCCAGAGTTCACACAACAAAAGTTTACCCATTTTTCAAAAAGTTATGTTGTACTATAATTCTGTCTTGCCCTGTTCGGGGGTGGGGGGGCTCTTTTTTTCTCCTTACAAAGCTGTTGAACTTCTCTGTGCCTACAAAGTAGAAACAGAATTTAACCAAACACCGTTACAATCAAAAATGAAAGCAACTGATTTAATACCTTTTGGAAAATAGTTCTCCGAAGAAATTCCCTGTCTGATAAACAATTGAACCTGTCCAAAAATATTCTCTGGGTTTCATAACACTCCTTGGTTAGAGAGACACTGAGCCCTTCTAGAAGAGCAGCTTCCCATTTGATTTTGCAGTTATCCCAACAGCTGTACTCCTACCTCAGGGGGAGAGGGGAACCTTTTTCACCCTTTCTAAAATAACTTGCACATAACCCCCCAAATCTGGAAATGCTTGCTTTGAGTTGCAATCACAAATTGTGCCACCATTTCATAAAAGCTGCATCACAATAAAGGGTCTAAGGAACACTCCAACAGGACAGACTAAGGGGAATATTTTGGAATGTCACTATGGTTCAGAAAAGTAAGTGTCCAGAACTCTGTTCTGATGTACATCTATCACCCTGAGTAAATTGCTAATTATTTCAGTTTCTCCTTCAGTAAGGTGAGACTGTTACAAGTCACCTATTTCAAACAGTTTCTTTTACAAATTAACACCTACAAAAAAATTTTTTTCACTTAAAATGCAATTTTTTAAGGATAAAAAGGTATCTTTTGCAAATGCAGTTTCTTGCCTTAAAGGCCAAATAAAACTCCATTTTCCTTTCTTTAAAATCTTCTAATTAGGAGACAGCAAACTTCAGCAAGAGATAGTGCTTCTGTGCCAGTCTCTTAACAATTTGGCAATTAATTTCAGACTGTGATATTTAGAGAGCATCTATACTTGTAAGTAATTGTAATCGTAATTACCACTACAACTGACAGTGGGAAAAGTGCAGTGCTTTTTTTAACATGCAAGAAAAATATATTCTAGTATTCTCATTAGAAGGGTAAGTTCCGATATCTTGTAGGGTGGTCATTCTAAGAGAGCTGAGCCACGGCACAAAGGAAGTTTCTTGGTGACAATGTAAAGGCTCCAGCTCTTTCCTTGGACAACTGAAGAACGCAAGATGCATTTTAACTCATCATTTCATTTATTTGTTTGCTATGTTGCTGAAGAGAAAAATTCCAGGTAAGTATCAAAAGAGAGGCATTGCTTCAGTTTAAAATGCCTTCAGCCAACAGGTTTACCATTGCCATTCCCAGCAGAAAAACACTGAAGTCAGCTAAATGGATCAATAGCATCCAATAAAAATAACATTTCAATGACAATGTAGAAGCAAAACTTAACCCTAACTTGATACTGGAATGCTATCAGTAAAACAATTATCTTTTACTGCAAGGAAAACCAATGCAGCTGAATATGACACAGTTTGCTCGATTTTAGTTCTGTGGGGTTTGGATTTTTTTGGTTTGGGTTGGGTTTTTTTGGTTTTGGATTTAGGTTTGTGGGTTTTTTGTTTTTTTTTTTTTTTACATAAAAGGTCATTTAACCTCCCAAAAAAGTTTTAAATAACATTGTAAAAGAAAAAGATTGTTTCCATTAAGATACAATATTTGCACCTGAATTTTTCTTTATAACAATTGCTATTTTTAACCTTTAATGTACATTATTTTAAGAACTCAAAATGAAAATAACTAATTTGCAGAACTAATCTGAAAATAAGAAGTTTTACTGAAGTTTTCAAGGTTATACCAAGTTTGAAAGGGATGCACTTTGCTGGTTTATATTCTGCCTTTGAAAAGTACCAAAGAAAAATTTAAAAACCCTGTGAAAGACTCAGTGAAATACTATACTGGGGGCTTTAAAATTTCATTGAAACAGTTTGTGGTCACCTCGTTAATTTTGGAAGTATAAGGCTGCTTTTGACTGTAAAAAGAGTGTAAGTAAACCCAACCTTTTGGGACTGGGAATGGAAAGCAGAGGACAAGGGGATTTAAGCAGTTTTAGTAAGCATTAGTTAGACCATCACAGTGAGAGAAAGTCCACCACCTTTACCATAACGGAATTTCCTTCCTAGGTAATTCCTGCTTAATCACTGACAAATAAAAACATACAACACATCAAAATATCTTTAACTTAGTGGTTCAGTCTGCAGATTAACTGTAAACACTCGTGTTCTTAAAGAACCTGCATCCATTCTGGTTTCACATAATCCCATTGGGGTTTTTGAGGAATCACTGTTCAAACCCTAGTCAAACTATTGATGCAGGAAAGGTTGGCAGATTAAATCCTGAAGAAACTATAATTTGTGCAAGAACACAATTTACAGAAAAACCTGTGCAAGTAAATGTTTTTGCATACACATAATAGGTGTTCAGTTCATATGTAATTGTTTCATGAAGTAGTCAAAGTATAAGACCACAAGTAAAATGCTATACACTTTTCCCAACAGGGATGAGAGGAAGCAACCAGCACACTCATTCAAGAGTCTGCAGAAGTAAACCGGCAGTTCAGGGACTTAATACATAATCAGTGATTTGGCCTGATACACTAATACTTACACTAATACTGTTATAGCCTTTAGTTTTAGAAGAAAACTTTTGTTAAACGAGAAAAAAAAATCCTTAAAGGAATGTGTTTACTAATTGACCTGTTTGAAATAATTACACTACAATAAAAGCATGAATTAACAAGAAAAAGAAACCTTATGCAACTTCTCATCTTGGCAGGTACAGGTACAACAGTCGATACAAGATGTTCCCGTCTCAGTTTACTCAACAGGAGCTGCCACAGGCAACTGAGCGAAACCTAAAAGTGGAAAATCCCCATTAAACATGGCAATTATAAAACACATCCTCTGTTCTTTCACTTGTCTTTTGTAATAAATAAAACCATTTGCTCGTCTAACACTGCAATGTATGACCTCGGATAGTCTAAGCTCACTACACCTAAGTTAAATAAAGCCTAGTGTAAGACACAATGAAGTAGTCACGGTTTGCACTCAAATACAGTGTTAAAAGGTGGCTGGAACAGCATTAGTTAAATTCAGTAGCTCATGCCACTTGGCTCCCTAACAAACTCCCCCATGTCTTCCAGCTAAC